TCCCATTAGAGATGTGAGAACTGCATAATTGAAGATATGAAGTCCAATTGGAGTTGCTCTCAGAATAGCATAAAAGAGATTGTATTAAATATGGTAAGTAATTTTATCTAACATAAGATCATATGAATAAACAAAAACAAATAAAGAGAGGAAAAAATTTACCTGAAATTGGCAAGAAATAAGAAGAATCCGATTGATGAGAAAAAACGGTAGAGAGATAAGAAAAAAGGCGGCGTAGAAATTTTGAAAGAAAGAAAACCTAATGGTAAACCTTGAATCAAGTAATGGGCCTAAAATTTAGAATTTATATCCATTGGTTGGTTTTTGTTTAACTTTCTTTTGGTGTAGCAACTAAATGAACAAATTGCAATCTTATATATGCTACCTTATTGGTCATACTCTTTCTTTTATTTTCTTCAGTTTATAAATCTTCTGTAATTAACGGATGTGAAAAAGATGAGTGAGTGCATATGCAATTCGTTGTCATCAATGGTGGTCCTTCGACAAAGGTGTCTTTGCTGTAGTTTAGCGGTAACTGTAATCCTTCATCATTGTCTTTCGTTAAAAAAATTATTTGCATTTGTCAGGTGGTGGCTTTTCCTTTCAATCTTCATCGTTCATAACGTGTAAAGTCGCCTTCAGATATATCATTGGTCTAACCGAAAAGTAATTTCCTACAAATATTGTTCACTAGTTTTTTGTCCATCCTAACTTCTATAGTTAATTTTGGGGGTAGTTTTCTGTGGTCATCCTGATCATATGGTGTACAAATCATAACGGATTTATTGTGGAAACGATGACTCCAATGGTAACCACTATGGAACCAATACACTGAGGATGGCTTCACTACCAAAAGATGTGATACGTTGATAAAAAATGGAAGAAAATCAAAGTCTAAATATTTGAAAATAACTCTGATATGGAAGAGTTGATATCAGGGTTTAGACGTTTTGTTGAAAATCAAAATCTATTGTTGGAAGCATCGGGTTTTGACGTTTTGTTATATGGTGTGGTTTAGCCAAGAGTTGCTACCTGTGCTCATAATTCACATCAGATTAAGATTGAATGAAGTAGATAACATATTCGATCGATTAAGACAGAAAGCATCGTCATAATCACTTATTTTGTTATATTTTTTTCACTATATGTTGCATATATCTGTTTATGTAATAAATTATTTTCCAAAAATTCTGTATGACTTTGTAATCCTTATTTGAAAAAAGCAGTGAAATTTTTTGTCGTAAAAAAATATGCATTTACTATACTATGTATATAAAGGTATGTAAATAAATTTGCAAGTAAATGTAATTGCAACATTATACATGCATTAACTATATTATGTAAATAAAGGTATATAAATAAATTAGCAAGTAAATGAACATATAACAATTTTAAATATGTACTGACTGTACTATATTAATAAAGGTATGTAAATAAATTAGCAAGTAAATGAAAAAATTGCAATCTTATATATGCATTGACTAGACTATGTTGATTATGGTATGTAAATAATGGTTTTGTTAAAATTATTATTTTATATTTTACCAAGTTGTGTTATATTTTAAACCAGAAAATTATATTAATTATCAAGTAGTAATTTATATATATTTTACGTTAGTACGTTAATATAAATTATAAATTTATACAACTAGGATTAAGTCAGTGATTTGCGCAGATTTTAATTTATGTTTGTGTTTTAATATGTTTTAATAAGTTTTAATATGTCTTTTTTTCTTCTTTCTTTTTCTTGATTTTTTTTCCTTCTTCATCTTTATATGCTCATAGTTTGTTATCTTCAGCTTCTGTTCTTTTTTCTTATTTTTAACGTCTTTGTCTTCGTATTTTTCAAATTCATCTTTGACATCTTGAGGGTACACATCAGCACTCCTTGCTAAATTGGCTGCGGTCATTTTCTTCGCGTGTGGGATATGTATAATTGAAAACAAATTGAACCTTTCCTTACTCTTTAAATATTCTTTCAAGTGTAAAGTAAAAGCTGGGCGTTCGTCGGGTGTTGACACCATCTTTACCAACTCCGAAAAGTCTGTTGCGAAAGCCACCTCCGTCTAATGGTTTTCTATCATACATAGCACTTCACATATAAGGGCTTCCGGCTCGGCAGGTAAATAGGAAAGATTTTCTCGTACTTTCCTCGCTCCCAATACTTTTTCTTCGATACCTTCTTTGACATAATACAATCCCAATCCTGACGACCGATCTGTTTCTTTACAAGATCCATCAATATAACACCACCAGCCGTCATATGGTGATAATACCGAGTACCTTATAGGGTTCTGACTATTTTGTAAGTTTAACTCAGGCTCCGATTTTTATGTCTCATCCCATATTTCAGCCACGGTTTCTGCAACATTTAGTATAATTTGTTGATCTCTGTCCTCATTCGAGAATATTTTTTCATTCCTTACTTTCCAAATATACCATACAATCCAAAGGAATTCTGAATTTTAAGTCTCCTTGGGAATTCTTCAAAAAAAGTAATCAAAATTTGAAAAGACCGATGACATCGAGAAGATCCCTGGGGGTGTTGGTATCCGAGATAGTGTCTAGTTTTGCAGGGCTGGTGGACATTCAAAGAAGACATGGTTTATTGTTTCTTCCTCCGCTCCATATTTTGCACACTGAATATCACATTGAATCCCCCAGACTCGTAACCTAGCCGATACTGATTAACACCCATATATTGCTTGCCAGATAAAATGTCTTAATTTCGGTGAGCATTTCAACTTCCACGTATACACTTGCAATGCTTTAATATCTGGACCACGGAAAGTTTCTATATCACTTTCTGCAGAATGTTGTTCTAGCTGATACCCTGACCAAACCGTATATTTTCCAGATTTGGTAAAGTGCCATCCAAATGAGTCGGGTCTAAATGTGCTACTGATAGGTATTCCCCGAATTATTTTTACATCAGCTGGGTCAATAATTGCAATTATGAACCCCATATTCCATGAATTTGTTGTTGGGTTAACTAGGTGATTAACAATAAGATTTGGATAATAATTAAAACCCTTACAAGTGGCTGATCTCGGCCGAGAGGATGATATCCATAGATCATTCTATACTGAGATAGAACAACCCAAACCAACTCTTTTAATTAGTTCTTTTTTAACCAGAGATCTAGTCGAGGTAATGCTCCTCTAACCATATGACGGGGAGTAAGAGCGTATGGATTCCAAAGGATGAGCATCCCGGTAATATCTTCCTTTGAACACCCTCGTAAATAATGAATTTGGGTGATTGATCAGCCTCCAAAATTGTTTCGCTAATAATGCTGTATTAAAATCTTCCATATTCCGGAAACCAATACCGCTGTCAGCCTTACCTCTACACATTTTCGCCCATGCTATCCAGTCCATACCTTTTTGTTGGCCAACTCCACCAGTACCGTGCCGCTGCACTGGTTAGTTTTACGGTTATTGATTTGGGTAATTGAAAGAATGACATCACATATTTAGGCATCGTGGATGCCACTGATTTAAGTAAGACCTCTTTTCCACCCTTCAACAGTAACCTCAATGTCCAACTGTTAATCCAATCATATTGTTTGTCTTCTACAAATTTAAATATCTTGTTTGTTGCTCTTCCCAAACTCTCTGGGATTCCAAGATAAGATTCCATCCCTCCGTTTCTAGATAGTCCTAAAAGTTGTTTCAATTGGCCTTGTACTTCCTCTAGGACTGTGTGACCGAATTGTAAAGAGGATTTGTCGAAATTTATTTGTTTCCCTAATACATTCTCATACTGATTTAATATATGTAAACTTTTCTCACTTCTTATTTTTTTTTGCAGAAAAATAAACTATCATCCGCAAACAATAAATGTGAAACCACAAGACTTGCTTTCGCAATTTTTAGTCTTGTCAATAAATGATCTTGTTCTGCTTTTCGTATATTGGCAATTAAAACCTCCCTACATAATATAAATAAATATGGTGATAGAGGATCTCTCTGACGAAGCCCTCTCCCTAGATGTGTCAGGTCCCATAGCTTTTTCCGGGTACATCATAAATAAAGCCTTATGGACCTCCTCCTCCATAGCCATTGCCATGAGCATTTCATTATTGTTTCCTGTAATCAATGGACTTATTTCTCTCATTGCTTCCTCAAATTCCGATGGAGGAGTTGACTTAAATAATCCTCGAAGTATTTAACTACCACATGTTCCACCTCTTTTTTGGATGTGATCCATGTCCTTACCGCATTATGTAAACCAATTATCCGATTCTTTGCTCTTTGTTTAACTTGTGCATGAAAAAAACTTTGTATTTTTATCTCTCACCGTAGCCCATTGAGTGCAGCTTTTTTGCTCCAGAATAACTCTTCATCTCGATATGCTTCGACTTCTACTTCTTCTTTTTCTTCTTTTTTCTGTTTTTCTTCGTCTTCTTCTTTTGATATTGTTTTGTTCTCATCTGCGTATTTTTTTTATATTTAAGTTTTTCTTCTTCCTCACATTTTTTAATTCTTTTTCACTTTTTTTGACATTTTTTTAATTATCATAGTTTTCTCTGACTTTATTTATTTTCATTTTAATAATATATCATTTTTAATAATATATATTTTTATCCAGTTAGTATTACAATTTTTTAATTATTAATATCTAACTGCCACTTATCTTTTTATTTATACTAAAATTTGTTTTATTTTATTTAATTTGTATTAAATATACTAATCATAAATATAAATATGTATGTATTAAATATATATTTTAATGTTAAAATTTATGGATTTGCTGATGTGTACACTCTATATGAAGAAAAAAACTCTCTCATTATATTATAGATTTTTATTATCTGTAACATCCATTAGTCCATTATTTTAGATATGAATCAAAACAAGTACAGAAATTCATAAACATACTGGAGATCCTGAATCTACTAACATACAATAGAAAATCTCAAATCAATGTTTTTTTTTTGTTTTTATGATTATCACACCATCAGCATTTGTAAACACAATTTAAGTCAGTACCCTAACCTGATGATACTCTTTTCATTTCACACCGATGTTTCAAGTGGACATGAGGTTGACCAGAAATCCTACAAAGTTTAAACTTAAACACAATATTACCTTTAACTTCTCTCTCTTTCCAATAATCATTAACCCAATACAACCCATCATAGACATACACCTTCTTTCCACTCTGTTTCAATCTCTTCTCTCCACGTATCAGTCTCACTGGAGTCTTTTCCTTCATGCTATTAGCTAGAGCCTCGTTGCCATTAACCAGCTGCTGATCTTTAACTACTTCATGATCCTTGGTCATCATGTAACCTCCTTCTCCGGTGTAAATGATCACATCAGACACGAATCTGTCATTGTAACCATTATCTTCCGATGATACAATGCTCGTAGCTAGTTTCAAGTTTCCTCTGCACATGTAATCAATCCCTCCCATGAGGTCGAAATGGAGACCGATCAAGCTGAGTACTGATTTGTATTCAAACTCATCACCAACTTCGATTCCAGGGACTGGTCCAATCATCTTTTGACTGTTCACTTGCTCCCCTTCTTTTATGAGAATAGCCCTTGTCTTTAAATCTATCTGACTCCTTGCAATCTTTGGTTCTCCACTCCGCTCTGCCTTCTCCCGATCCAGCTCATTAAACACAAGTTGATATCTATGCAACACCTCGAGAACTTTCTCTCGTGGGCTAAGAACTTTGTTAATCCTGTTTTGTTGCATGGCTTGGTTGAGTCCAGTGAGTTTGTTTGGCTGTCTGTCTTGAGTTTGTTTATGAGTCTTTGCTCTGAATGCATCTCCATTACTCAGAATCTTCTTCTTCTTATTTTTCTTCAGAGAGTTTTTCTGTTTCTGCAAAGGCTTTCTCTGATTGCTACGAGAAGTATATGAAACTTGTCCTCTTGTCCTCTGAGAATCAATTAGCTCAATACTTTCCTCCATACTTAAAAGTTTAACCTTACTTCCACGACAAGAAGAAAACTTCCTCTTTGCTGAAACAAAACTTCTGCTCCCGACACTGCCATTACTTACTACACTGAATCCTGCTTTCTTCATATCAACCGATTCAACTTCCTTATGATGGTTATTCTGATAAGCAACACCAACAACTTCAGAAACATTCAAATTTTCTCTTTTCTCAATTGTGACCGCAACAGCTTCACTACCGACCCCACATCTCTGATTCTTAACAGAATATTGAGTACCACAACCATGTGGAAAGTCTCTTATCACCGAGACCTTTTGTTTTTTGTTAAGAGGACACTCCAGTTGAATCATTTTCCTGCATACATAACAAAATTTAACTTATTAGTAACCATTAAGCATCATACATTTCAATGAGACATTATCGCAAAATCCAAGCAAAAAACAGAACAAGGGAATGCGTGAGTCTTTGAAAATTGAAAAAATTACTTTCAGACGAACAGATATGCGAAAAATGTATGAAGAACAAATGAGCAATTGTAGAGGGTCAAAAACATTGAGAACGGTAATAAAATGCAACAACAAAAGCAAAACAATTACTGACCCAGAGAAAATCTTAACGATGATCTTCTTCTTCTTCGTATACCTCTTGTTTCTAGTTACTGAACAATTAGAAAGTCCGTTTGTTTCATTGTTAGTTTTATTTTATGATTTTATTAACTGCTTTATCGTGGAGCCACTAAGTACACTAATGGTAATGGATTTTCGGTTATAAAAATTTATAATTAAGCGAATTATTAGCAAATCATTACATAGGTTTAACTGTAATTATTATGTAAAGCGTTACTGCGTTATTATAATTGCGTTGTGGTGATGTAAATTACGTGTAGGGCCTGCTTGGTAAAGATTTTTATGGCTTTAATTTATTTTAAAAATCTTTAAAGTCTTAAATTATCCAAACAAACTTTTAATGTTTAAAGTCTTAAATTAACTCCTAACATTTTTCAAAGCCCAACTTCCATCTTTTGTTCATGAGAAAGTTTTTTTTTTCTCTAAAAGCCAGAAAATTGTGGGTCTGTTTGGTAAAAACTGTTATTTTTAGCTTTTATTGGCTTTTATTTTAAAATATTTTACTGTTAAAATTTAACTTTTACTTTTAAAAACATGATATACAAACAGAAAAAAAAATTTAAAAATAAAAATGAAGAAATAGATCTCAAAAAAAGAAGAAAAAAATAAGATTTAATTAACTAAAATTAGTAATTACTTATATATATAAATATCTATAAATTCTTTTGAATGATTCAGGGGAGAAAGAAATAAAAAAGGAAATAAAATGTATTTATTTTCCTAAATTTTTGGTTAAAAGCTCCTCCAACGTAGCTTTTAAAAATCATGACAAAAAACAAAAAATTTTACTTTTAAGATTTTAAAACTAATAAAATAGAAAGAGTGTGTTTGGCTAAAAATAGGCTTTAAAAACTGTAAAAGACTTAAAAGCCTCTACAGTCTAACGCCAAGCAACCCTTGTAGCTTTTTTTTTGTTTTTATAAAATTACAGTGTATTTTTAAAAGCCAAAATTTTTTAGAGTTTTTATTCTAACGTAACAGCAACAAATCACAATTCCAATCAAGAAACCCCTACATATTTTTTTGTTTCTTCCTTCTCATTTACTTTGTCACTAAAAGTACTAAGAACAAACTCAGAAGGCTGACTTAAAAACAAAAACAAAAACAAAAACTTACAAATCTTTAAAATTTCATGTTTTTTATTGACATCTCTATCCCAGCTTTCCTAAAGAAACCTAAAACTTGAGCATGTTAGGTTGACAAACTAAATCGTTTAAGTCAATTTGCCCAGTTTAGTTCCCTAGTAAAGGGCACATAATCGTCAGGAAAATGCCTAGGTCACAACGAGCAATATAAAAAATTTCTGACCATCCTAACATGAACATAATAAAAGAAAAAGGAAGGGTGAGTAATGAAAATTACTCAGTTATGAGCCTTATAGAGACTCACTGCTCACTTTCTGACATGATGTGAATTACTATCATGAAAGTCTAATCATAAAACAAGATCAATGGGATCGATACAGTATATTCCCATTGATCTCCTATTTATTTCTCAAACCCATTGCTCCGTTCTATTTGGTCCAGAAAGAGCCCTTAGCTCCATCACTCATCAAAGTATTACACCTGATACCGCCTTTCCAAAAAAATAACTAATTGGCCTGCTAACACCTATGTGTCAAACAGGCTTTCTAGAGATTCGCTATAATCTCATGGGTTTACGAATTGATGGTCTCGAAAGTGCTACACATTAGCCCTAGCAAACAATATCCATACCACAAAGGTCCCATCGCCATGTGACTGACTCCTAAGAGTTCTGAATCTTGTAAGCAATGTTGGTTTACATACTATATATTATTAGACACTCTAGGTTCAAGAGTCACCAGCACGACTTATAACAAGTTGTACCAATAGGTTGATAAACAAGTTCATAATTAATTCACCAGGTTTTAGAATCCATAATTCTTAAGCCAACAAGCACTATAACAATAATTTAACCCTAGAACAGATCTAGAAGATATTAAGAGAGTGATATGTAGATATTATAGTCAAACTGGCAATCAGCACAGAATACTAAGCGAATCATATAGCTTGCTTAGAGAAGATACTATTTAAAAATAAAAGACTAGCAAGTGAAAACGAATTCTGAGAGAATGTGAGGGGCAATGAGTCCTCACCTTGGCTAATGAGGAGGCAGCAGTAGAGGAGGAGAATAAGGAGGAGAAGGGTATTCTTCTTTGGGCTGCTTCTCAACAGCTGTTGGATACTCTGAATCCAACAGAGGAACACCGAGAGCATCTGCGGTCATCTGGTTCAGCACTTGGGAAGATGGGAACCTCTGGGAAAGAGCAGTAGAGATCACAGAGGTGATGAGAGGCACGTCTTCTTTGATACCGATGAGATTTTGTAGCCTAGAATTCATTATTCAAAACCGGAACTTTTCTTTTCTTTGGATTTTTTTTGCAAGAAATGATTTGTGTTTTTTTTTTCTTATGCATAGGCTTAACTTACATGATTGCTTGAAGGTTAGGAAGTTATACATTTTTGGTTTGACTAGTTGAATGATTTCACATTGATATAGAGTTCTGAATTCGGAATGTTTCATTTTATATGCTTAATTTCATAAATAAAGGTAATTTTAGTTAGGTTTCTCTATGTTCCGTAGGTAGAAAAATTTTATACCATATAAAAAGATATAGAGTTACAGTTCAAGTCGGGTCTTGTTGGATTTTATAAATTAAACATAAGATTGGGTAACACTAAGAACACTGGTAAATACCAATTGGCCAGATAGATAATTAGTTATCTGTTATGTTCATAACAGTATCAGTACGGTTATGCAGAAAACTTAACTGTCCCTGCCCGTTTTGGTTTTGACGTAACTGTACCTGATCGACTATGACCAAACAGATAACTAATTTTCTATCTATCGAATATTTTTTAGTTAGGTTTCTCTATGTTTCGTACGTAGAGAAATTTTATACCATATAAAAAGAGATATAGTTTCAGTTCAAGTCGGGTCTTGTTGGATTTTATAAATTAAACATAAGATTGGGTAACACTAAGAATACTGGTAATACCAATCAGCCAAATAGATAATTAATTATCTGTTATGGTCATAACCGTATCAGTACGATTTTGCATAAAACATAACTGTGCCAGCCCGCTTTTGGTTTGACATAACTGTACCTGGACGACTATGACCAAAACAGATAACTAATTTTCAATCTATCGAATATTTTTTAGTTAGGTTTCTCTATGTTCCGTACGTAGAGAAATTTTATACCATATAAAAAGAGATAGAGTTTCAGTTCAAGTCGGGTCTTGTTGGATTTTATAAATTAAACATAAGATTGGGTAACACTAAGAATACTGGTAATACCAATCAGCCAAATAGATACTTAGTTATGTTTATAACAGTATCAGTACGGGTATGCAGAATATCTAAACTGTACTGTCCCTTTTTGGTTTTGACGTAACTGTACTTGATCGACTATGACCAAAACAGATAACTAATTTTCTATCTATCGAATATTTTTTAGTTAGATTTCTCTATGTTCCGTAGGTAGAGAAATTTTATGCCATATAAAAAGAGAAATGTTCAATTCGGGTCTTGTTAAATTTTATAAATTAAACATAAGATTGGGTAACACTAAGAATACTAGTAATACCAATCGGCCAAATAGATAATTAGTTATCTGTTATGGTCATAACCGTATCAGTACAATTGTGCAGAAAATTTAATTGTACCTGCCCGTTTTGGTTTTGACGTAACTGTACTTGGTTGACTATGACCAAAACAGATAACTAATTTTCAATCTATCGAATATTTATTAGTTAGGTTTCTCTATGTTCCGTAGGTAGAGAAATTTTATACCATATAACAAGAGAAATGTTCAAGTCGAGTCTTGTTGGATTTTATAAATTAAACATAAGATTGGGTAACACTAAGAATACTGGTAATACCAATCGGCCAAATAAATAATTAGTTATCTGTTATGGTCATAACTGTATCAGTACGATTTTGCAGAAAAGTTAACTGTACCTGATCGACTATGACCAAACAGATAACTAATTTTCTATCTATCGAATATTTTTTAGTTAGGTTTCTCTATGTTCCGTACGTAGAGAAATTTTATACCATATAAAAAGAGATATAGTTTCAGTTCAAGTCGGGTCTTGTTGGATTTTATAAATTAAACATAAGATTGGGTAACACTAAGAATACTGGTAATACCAATCGGCCAAATAGATAATTAATTATCTGTTATGGTCATTGATATATCATGGTTTTTATGGTTTTTGACCATGGTATAGGTCTTATTTATAAAGTCTTTCTAGTTTTTTTCGAGTCTTTTGGAGTCTTTTCAGGTCATAGGTACGTTTGGAGCTTAACTGGAGACTTTGGAGCACTTTGGAGCTTAATCAGGATCAAATTCGTCAAGTATGGATTTTGTGCTTTAGTGACGCTCGACTCCATGGAGAGTGACGCTCGACACTTGTCAGAGAAATAAGGAAAAGGCGATTTTGTTTCCTATTTGAAGAAGGAGTTGGGCCTAAACGTTTCCAAGGAAGCCCAAGACGTGTTTCGAGCGACACCACTTGTGGTGAGCGACACCTTTCTTTTTATAACCTAATTTACTTATTTCGTTTTCTCTCTTTGTTTTTGGTGTTTCAGGTTTATGCATATTCGTGGAACCAGAAGCAACAAGGACATCCCGCTAGTGAATTTGAGCAACGAGGAGCTAGCTGAGTTAGAGCGAACGAACAGGAAAGCAAAGGATC